GCTCTCCGAATGACATCATGATCGCGTCATGGGCTGACGCATCCGATTACTGAGCACGCTTCGTCATGATGACGTGCTACCCGCGCATGAATCAGCATGGTCCGTGCGCGGGTTCCCTTCTGTATATATATCGCTGGCCAGGACTGATGAGTTCCCCAACGAAACACCCTGCACTGTCCCCCAGTGCGCTTGTTTCCTTGGCCAACACCACCCTCACCACTCTGCATATCCCCTCCCTTGCAAGGAGTCTACTACCTAACCTAACCTAACCTAACCTAACCTAACCTAACCTAACCTAACCTAACCTAACCTAACCTATCCCCTCAAGAGGACCGTCGTTTCACATAATCACTCTGATTCACATTTTGTTCGTCGATCCGGGGCTCTCATCACATCAGATGATTATTACAACATCAGAATGCTCGCCAAATTCAGCCACCCAGCACATGCAAAGCCATCTCATTGGCAGATCAATTGCTTTTTTGAATTTTATGTCCCCTTGCCCAATCAACGACACCTGTGATTCCCTTGGGATGTTCCAGCCCACATTTCCATGCCGCACCATTCAATTTCCTCCAGACTACGACGAGCGCGGAACGATCACAGTGGCTCGGCCATGCAGTGTTATCTGTTAAGAGTTTCAGTTTTAGTTCCGTAATAGGTAAGGCCACTTACCGAAGGTGAGCGCGCGCAATCTCGGACAGCCCGCATTGATGTTCATGACCCACGCACGCTCAATGTCTACAAAGTCAGGAGTAATCATTGCTGCCTTACGCAGGTTTTGATCATGGCTGTGATGGTACCCAAATGCTCCCAACTCAGGTAGGGTTTTGGCCACGATCCGGCACACTTCGGCAATATCTGATTCGCGATGAGACGGTTTGGTCCAGGTATTTGGCCATCCTGGGGACACATTGAAGACACTTGAGAGATCAAGCATGCGAAGGCGGGGACAGTGGGCAGTGATAGATGAAATGAGATTGAGGTCGACATCGCGGGGTCCTGTTTGCCGAAACATGAAATGTAATTTGGACAGGTTGGAGAGGTCGAGGCGGCCGAGGTCTGATGTGATACTGTGAATGCACTCGTGCAGCTTGATCTCTTGAACACAGACAGCCTCCGACGCTATCATCGCCAACACCGGGGTGTTTTGTAAAAGATGCAGTGTGGGTGGGTTGCAGCGGAACTGACGCAGTGCCGGCATTTCCAGATTGGCCGAGTGATCAAAGTGTGTCTGGTCGGCGTGGTAGTCAAGGGCTAGGTACTCTATCGTCTTGGAATGGAGTCGTAGGAAAGGGACAGCGTAGTGATCCAGCCTTGCCGGAAGGACGAGTGTGATTGCTTTCAGGGCACTGAAGGTGGCCTCGGTGGGAAAGAACTGCACGTTCCCTGTGTGGAGCAGACAGTGTCCGCTACTGTTCAAAGACAGTGTGCACAATTTGGGGCATGCCTTGAGGATCGCCCGCAATTGGTGAGTGCGAATGGGGAGATAGCTCTCCGCATCGAGAGGGCTGTCGATGAAGTTCATGGTGTTCGACACACTGCAGTGTAATCAGCACATATGTCAGAAAGTTGAAGGATGCAGACTGACTCGATCGGTGTCCCATTAGCATCGAGCGCACCGGGAGCAACAGTGACATCCGGGTTGAAACTCATCCTGTGGCAAGTAACCGTTCAGGTTAATCTAGAGTCACGACCGAATCTCAACACTCACAATATATCTAAGCTCTGAACATGGCCCCAGGATTCCGGATACATCATTGCAGACTGGAATGCGGCAAACATACTGCTCTGGGCAGGACTAGCGCTATCCAACACCTCCTTGGAATTCCTCCGCGCAATGTCAGAGATAACGATGGAGCTGAATTGGACTTCTCGCGCGCATAGTCCCCAGACGGCGGCGTCGAAGCTCCAAGGGGCATTTTTATCACTGCGCCTGCGCTGGTATGTGCCACGAACCAGTGCAATGAGTGCGTTCGGCCAGCAACGTTTCATGATGAGCACGATGTTTTTGACAACCTCTACAGGGAGGCGATTGTGATCCACGCTGGTGAGGGAGAAAGCGGGAGGGGGATACAGCTCCTCTTCAAGCTCGCTGGGCGGCATCATGGGCGAGGGGAAGGGAGAGGCCCACGGCGACAGTGGGACATCTAACATGGGCATACAGATTCACCCTGTCCTGAGCCGATGATACTTATACCACACACTCCCCGCCGTGGCCATTCAGCAAGGCTGTGACAATAGGTATCCATAGGAACAGAAGGGAGGACGCAAATCGGTTACGAGTTACAATCCGATCCATTCACGAGAATCGAGATTCCACGCTGCGGCGTCTGATCGATTGGGTAAGTAAACATCGGTTGCATTAATCCACCGGCGACTTCCCGAACCCATCCAGGACGGATTGTGTGATGCAAATGCTCTACTGTCTGCAATGCCGGAATCTTAGGGACAAGAGGCGACTGAGCGCACATGTACACCCTCATGTGTTCTTTATACCGGCTCAGGAATCTCATCTCTTTGCAAACAAACATCCCGATCAAGCACCATATTATCAGAATTTTACCACACCACAGCTCAATCCTCCCGCCACGGCCAGCTCTTCGCGATAAAACACCACTCCCCGTCCACATCCCTCAGCCATCCATTTATGTTCGGCGATCTTCCCTCTAGGTATTCGAACGCGCTGTTTTCTGTTACGATGCAATAAGTCAATGCTGCGACGTAGGACTCTGGTGGCACCGACTCACGGAATGTACAACGCACGAGGGCTGTGTGATCTCGCTCTATCCTCCGTACCCAGCTTAGCTCCGCGTCCATCTCATGCGGAAAGCCGTAGTGATAGGCAAGATCACGTAGCCCTCGCATCTGAGTAAGAACATCACACACCGCCGACATGCTACCCTCCCGATGTGTCTGATGCGTCCATGAATTGACCCACGGCGGGATCACTTGTGACATTGTTTGAAGGGAAAGGACCTCCAGTAGAGGGCAAGTGCTCGCGATGAGAGATAGAAGTCCAATGTCGACGTTCGGGTCCTTGGGCATATCGAGGTCGAGGTGCAGATGGATGAGGTGAAGATCGAGACGATGAATATGATACGCCAACGCAGCCGTGTCAGATCCACTCTCCGTGCCTACGCCCAATGTGATGTCGATCAAACGAGGGGCTGATCCAATCCACGACAAGGCACACATCTGACCTTCCCATGTGGACAGTATGGCGAAATGCACAGAATTGACGGACGTGAGGGGCCATGCGTCGTAATGAGTCATTTCGATGTGGGTGAGCGTCGATGAATGGAGTTGCAGGAAAGGCGCAGACAATGGGTATGGAGCCCACCCTTCGGCAGAGAAGCGTTCGAGCCGAAACCCGCACGCCATTGGGAGGGTACGAGACAGCAACGAAAAAGGCAATCGTTGCATGTCGGATGCTCCCATGCCTCCTCCAGGAACGGTAATGCTGACATCGAGATTCTTCAAATGGGTGCAGCTTGCGACAATTTCTGGATACAACATCGCGGCGCTTGCAGCCGTAGGGAATTCGCGCCCATCGAGAGATCTGTCTAACCATCTACAGGACAAAATGGCAAGTGAGCGAGATATGCGCAACGGACGCATGATCGTGACATACGCAATACGAAGATCTTCTACGCGTTCCCAGTTCTGTGGACGTATCGAAACCGAGGACTGAAGCCTTGTCCACGTCATCGGCTTCCTGGGAAATGATAAATCAACGACTTTATATATACGATCCATCTGGTTGCTTGGAGAGATAGGGTGGCGGTACGGATTCATCATGGCAAACGTCACGTGAGTGTTTCTCCTGTTTTTTGAGATCGTTTCTTCATAGCTTCGGGTAGGCATGTGTGGCACGCAAGTCCGTTGGACCCTCGCGACCACATCACTGTGGAGATCTACTACAATTTCCATTATGTAGGGACCTGGCATATCGTTCGGCATTTGCAGTGAGTCGTTCGTTGTTTTTTTACAACATCCTCCTGAACCTCTACAGTCTCGAAGGCAATGAAGCATATAACGCGGTCGCTATTGGGTACGTCTTTGTTATTCATTCCGCGAATCATTCTCATTTGCAGCTAGGAGGGGGATGGGGAATTGTTGTGGCTGAAGTGCGAGTTTCAGTGGCGGCAGATGGGAGTTTCGGGGCGGTAGGGGTTGAGGCGCGCTGGGGCGGCGCTAAATGTACTTTGGTGCGCTGGGGCGGCGCTAAGTCTATTTCGGTGCGTTGGGGTGCACAGGCTTGCGCCGGGTCGACTTTCTTGCGTTATTTCTTCGTTGCATTGTACATTAGTGGGTCAGTGTGTGTTGTTTTTTGCTGATCGTCGAGATCGGTTGCTTTCAGTGTGTGCTGTAATGGTGTGATATGCGTTGAAGTTATTCACAAACGAAAAAACGTCTCCGACGGATGACGCGCGCAATGCTAACGATTTCACGGAGATGCAGTTCTTGTGTAGCTGTGGCGAAAGCCGTCTCGGACGGAAAGCGCGCGCAAGGCAGCTCCGGACGACGTTCCCGAGCTGGTTTGCCGGCATTTTCCGTCTCGGACGTATTAGGCGCGCACAGCATCTGCGGCGCCGTGCCGGGATCGCTGGCTGCAGT